GCACGCACGCACGCACGCACAGAGACGCAGAGCCACAGACGTACATACAGGGCATTGCAATGTAGTCGGTCTCGGCTGAACTCTAAAGACTCCAACTGCAAGTTACTCGCAGATGTGTGTTCTTACACGGGGTTACCCATACAGGTGTGCTATTACGAGAAGGAGAGTAATATAGAAGCCTAGGTAGTTGCCAAATTATGCCTTGGGGTTCCTGATGATACTGAGACCTTTCACAGGAGCCCCAAACCGTCTTCTAAAAGTTAAAGCCCCCATATAGGCCCCTTTGTAGTTCCCCTTTTTGTGGTTTATATTTAGGATTCTACAAGATATCCCCCAAAAAAGCACTGTGGCTCAACAGTTAGGATTCTATAAGGTAGCTTCCGAAACAGGAACTACAACCCAAAGGCGCGTCTCCCTGGCGGCGGCGCTTTCAGAGCTGCGCTCGGCTGGACGCAGGGTGACGGCGGTTCCGAGACCCAGGAGCTCTTCAGGCACTCGGCGCACTACAGGTGACTTAATAACCGGACCAGTTTTTTTTTGGGGGTTATATTATGAGATTATACGATAATTATTTAATAAGTAGCAGTGGTAATCTAGGTCATTACCTAGAGTAACTAAAGCCCCTGGAAAGCACAGCAAGTTGTCTCAGTAGCTGACTGGGACCACTTTGCACTTTTTGGGATAAACTCCCCTATGAAACCGACCTTTTGCGCTTTTTGGAGCTTGTGAACTCAGCAAGTAGGTTATATAGGTGATAATGATAGCTCAAGATTCTGTGGTGGGGAAGACAGCAAAAGCTGTTTTACTACTTGCTTTGATTTGAAGCATTTTGCTTCTTTGAGGCCTTGGGATTCTGGGAAGCATGGGTTTGTGAAGCTTGGCCGGAGGCCTGCAATATAGCCGCCTTAAAATCAAAAAAATGAGGTTTGGGGCTCTACTATAGCCCCGTCAGAATGCAGAGGGATAGTATTACTAATTCTTCAGCCTTCCATAAGCACACGTAACTGTAGGTGCACCTGTCGTGCACGATGCTTAAGCACTCCTTGCAGGCACGGGGCATGGGCTGAAGCCCTCAGTCCCTGACCAGAGGTCGGGATTATAGTTGGAGTTTCATAGAACCATCATATTCATCATGGCACTGACAATAAAAGCCCTCAGAATATTTCTAAACATAGTCAGAGTAGCGACAAGAATCTGAACTTGACTAAAACCGTCCTACTTACAATAAGCATCGCATCACTGGTTCGGGAGGTGCCCCCGAGAAGCCTTGGGGCAAAGAGGCGACGGCGGTGCGCTGGGACCCCGGACATGTCTCTCTGGTATAACGGATGTATACGGTATACTCTACTATCTTCCTTGGGGGAAGTATGCTATATGTATTCACAAGGGGAGTATACTACACCTGCCGTGGGGGGGTTGTGCCATGCTTATGGTAGAGAGCTCTACCCCTCTCACCAAAATGGAGTTCTGCTGCACTCTTTGGGGAGCCCTATATATTGTAATGTTGCCAGTCTCAGGCTTGACCCACCCGACAAGCGCCTCAGGTCGGTTGCCACTGGTTTTAACATTGTTGTGAGTATGGTTATGCTTTCAAACTATGATTTCTGCGGATTGTCAGTTTTTGTCAATATGACGTATTAGAATACAGATGTGTTTTCTTGCCATTGTGGTTTGCAGTTTTCGATTGTTAGGATGATGATGATGATGATTTCCAGCACTTCCCACTGGATCTCTTATGGCAATGTTGCACTAGTATTCCTGATGCCGTCGAAACCCACATCCGCAACCTCAGTCCGTGATCTCCACAAAGATTTGATGAGTCGAACCTCTTTGCTTGGTTCTGGGTTGTTCTGACAAAAGTTTGTGATCCCCGCCCGCATTTAAAGGACAGCTTGCTACATCAGCACCGCGAGAGCCCACGCCAGCACCTCCGGAAGCCCACCAGCATCGAGGTTTCCTACGTCGTGCCTTGACCACGGCTGTTCGTCGTTCCGTGGGGCCGGAGCCTTGAGGGTGCTTCTCTTGTGGTCCGGGGCATTTAGAAATTCAGGCATCCTGGTCCTGATCTTCAGGATCATGCCCGTCTCCTGCTTAGAGTCCTTTGTTGTCCGAAACTCCCTCCTTCGGGTGTATGGGACCTTCGACTGCCGCACTGGCTGAGTTTAAGGTTTGGGGCTTTCTTCTAGTTGCATTGCTTCAAAAAGTAGGGGGCGAAAAGAGAATTTAAAAAGCAATGTTTACAAGTAGCTGGACAACTTCCCGTCCTCGTGGCGATGCTTGATAAATACAGTTTTTGGCAGTGCTGCTTTTGTTGGTGCTCTCTTGGTCTCAGGGGTAAGGACCACCACAAGACAAGAGATTAGTGTTTGTAGTCTCCAGGCAAGCAAATCCCAACGAAGCACCGTGCATGTGTTGCGGGGTCATGCTCGGGGTGGTGGGGGGCAATGTTTCCGTGTTCGTATCAATATACTCAATATATGAGTCTGAGCCCATCAACATAAACCCACGCCTCCGTTCGGGTTCCCAGGCGAAGTGATTTCGCTTGCGGGTTCCGCTAACCTGTTGAAACGCATGAAAAGACGTTCCGGCCAGTGATCGCTACAGCGCTCTGAGGCGTGTGGTTTGTAAACGAGGTCCACTGCAAATCCCACGCAGTAGAGTTTTCGTATGGTGTTCAACACCTAAGCTTCATCATAGATTAGATTGATAGGGTGTCCTGAAATGTGATAAAGTTTCTGCCGTCGCAAGGTCCAGTTACGGTCTTCCCCGTCCAGAAAACTCCAAGAGGACCCTAAACCCGACTCACAAAGCTTGGTCGGAGTATAATTGCCTCCCAATCCCTATGTTAAGTGCTGCGGCCCCTAGAGAATCCACGGAGTCCGTTCAAACGAGACATGCAGTGCACGATGTGTAGAGGATGAACAAATCACGAGTCATAGGCTGGCGATAGGATTTAGGGCCAATTTAGGGTTTATTATATGCTTCAGGGTTCAGGTTTTGGGGCTTCGGGTTTTTAGTCTTTAGAGACGAGAAGCAGCCAAGGCGGCAACCCCACGGACCACGGAACCTGTGCTCCCTTGCTCCCTTGCAATGCCACTCCACCTGAGCCCCTTTGGCTTCAGGTCCTTCTTTGGGCATCTCAGAGTATCGCCACCCGCATCTCCCAAGAGGCATCGGCATCGGGAAGGGTGTGACAGTTCTTTGGTCGGCAGTTTCGTTGTAAGTCCGCCAAGAAATGTGGCTGACCTTGAGTCTCACTAATTTACCTCGCAGCTCACACCCATACCATGCGCAGCCTCCTAAAGACTGCGAGCACACTCAACTGCATGCAGATCTCGGGGACGCTCGACCCTCGCCGACACCTCAGCCGTGGCGCCGGCTGGTGCCCTTCGCCAACGTGTAGCTTCCGCCTTCCACTTGGGGGAGGCTGGCTGTCCAAGGTTCTTTTGCTCAGGGTCTGGGGTTTGTGCGGACCCGGGTCCGTCGCTTTAATCGTTGTTGGGATTTTCTGATGTTTTGGCAGGAGTTGCACGACAGCCGGCGCGGATTGCCGGAGATGGCAACCGGCATGGCAAGGAAGTCAGGGATTTGGGTTCGGAATGCATCGGAGTCGACAGCCACAGTCACTGTGCTCGCCCTGCCTTGTGCTGCTTCGTCTGCATGCGAGTACTGCAAGAAGCAATGTAGCACCAAGGTGGGAGCTGCGAATTGCGGAAAACACATCAACTTAAACAAGTTTGGGACATCACGTTCGCAATGCCCTTACAACAGCGCACAAAGAATCCCTTTCAGACCACGGCTGGACTTGTCCCAGTGTAAGCTTTCACGCATGCCTTGCCCCTCGGTTTTTGGCCTTCATTGTAGATGGACCGGCAGATATCTGATCTCACTACGGCGAAGACGGGTAAGATAGTCAATTCGCCTGTCGATGTAAGCGACCACTAGGTGTCCTTGACGGCTTCACTTGGGCTTCTTCGTGGGTGGCAATATAAGTATGATCGATTTCTGAATAGTTGGTATTTCAAGCCACCGCATGCTGCACAGGGCTACAAGCCAGGTGGCTTCGTCCTCTCCCACTCATTGACTGCAACGGTGGTAAATCTACGGGTTCCAACCACCAAGGCAGCTGGAAGTCCTTTGGCAGCACGCATGAAGGCGCTGAAAGCAGACACTTCAAAGCAGGCTGGGGGAGGGCTTCGGATCCTTGCTTTCAAGCCGGGCGATGAAAGCTGCAGGAAGGTGCTCAAGTGGCAAGACCTCCTTTCCTTGTAGTTCCCTCATAGGCACAGCCTCCGTCGCCACAAGCAGTTGCACCGGCACCAACCGACCTTCAGCACGCTGCAGCAGCTTGGCATTGGAAGCGTTGAGTTGATTTTCCCACTGTGTTCGGAATCTTCATCGGACCTACAGCTTCCTTGAGCCTGTTCAGGCTTTGGGTGTGTTCAACTTTGTGCGGTCACTTTATTCTAAGCCTCCTCCTAGTCTTGAAGGTCGAGGGCATATAGACATGGTCGACTCAGGGTTTGGCCACCTGGCTGGATAAAGGTGAATTGCTGGACCTCCCCGCACCGCTTCAGACTGCGTCAGCGTTGATTCAGAAGGCTTCTACACTGAATAGACCTGGCCATGCGGGTTTGGGGTGGGGGGGCATGCCTCTGAACAGATCGAAGCACCTGCGCTGATAGCGACAGCTGCCGATGTGCAGTGGAAGACAAACCAGTTGTGCGATTAGATCTGCAATTCAAGTTTTTCATCCTCCTTCCATTACCGCGCTGCTGTAGCCATAGGGTCCCTTTTCAGGTCCCCAAAATCCTACGTCCTACGGCACCCTTCTTAAAAAGGAACCTAAAAAAGGATCCTAATCTAAAAAATCTACACACCAGTCGCTCCCCAAAGAGGTCTCGACTTCTGAAACCTTGAGGCCGCGAAGATCCAAGCGCACGCGCGGGGGCGATGGGTGCGGAAGCGTGCCCGGAAGAAGGCGAGGAAGCCCGAGGCACCAGATTTAGACAGAATTCGAGTTGCAGTCTATAATATACTACAATATAGTAGTTGTAATATAATATAATGTGATGTAGCATAATATCTGTTCATGAGCCGGCGATGGAGGGTAAAGACATAGAGCTTCGCTTGCAAGCGAAGCTGGCCCTTTGCATGGAACTCATCCGGATCGAAGCCGGCCGGCTTGGAAACCTCGGTCCTGCAGTTGAAGTGTTAACAGCGTCCCAGGACGCCGTGCCCTCAAACTGACTTCTTTCCTTCCAGGTAGATACCGAGAGCAGTTCAACTCCGATTCAAGCCATGAGGCGCGAGGTCTGCGAGACAGCCTGAACAAGTCATGCCAGGAGAGCCACTTGCCTCCGCTGCCTCCGCCACCATGGGAGGTGCAGCAAGCGGCGGTGGCTTGGAGTGTCAGGGGTACTGTGGGCTCGGATGGCTCAAGAGTGGTGAGCTCATTCAGGTGAGAACAGTACTGACTGTTCGTTCTGCCGTTTAGCTTCTGCTGACTTCGATCTGCATCACTCCGTAGATGTCAAGACCCTTTGATGGTTGGTTGATAGCTGCTGCTGATGCTGATCCAAACCAACTCTCAAGACTCGCGGGCTGGAGTTCCTTTCGCCATCTTTGCGCCTTGATCCCGAGATGAACTCGTAGAAGTGATATGCCCAGGCCACGAAGATCCAAGCACACGTGCGTGGCAAGCAGGGTCGAGCTCGCGCTTTGAAGCTGCGCAAGAAGGCAGTGCCTCATACTGAGTCATATTGTTTTGCGGAATTACCGTCCCCGTCTTGTCAAGTTACCCGTTCCTCTTAATCTTGAAGTTGATCTGGGGCCCTGCGCGTTTGACATTATGCAGAGATTCCAGTTCAGCAGGATGGGCATTCTGCAGCGTCGCATACTCTGTCGCTCCATGTTCTTGTCGCTCTAGGTCCAAGTCGCTCTTTGTGTCATGTACTCGCCAAAATGCTAACTGCTAACCCGGATTAGTTACTTTACGGGATCTTACAGGCTCCTTATGACCTTTAGGCTGCCTTTAGGGCAGGGTTTGTGGTCGGCTTCAGGATTGATGGGTTTGGTCGAAGTCGGGTAACCTGTCTCAGACCTTCACGCGCCGGTCCGCGCTGAAGCTGCAGATGCGAGCGACCGATGAGGACAGATCCGATGTGACCCGAATAGAAAGGCTGTGCGTAGCAATCCCTGATGCTCAGGCCTGCGATCGTTTGTTTGTTGGCATGAGCTACCACGCCTGCGTTCGGTGATCTCTACACTCCGCTGCAGCGTCTGTCCCAGAGCAGCGCAGGTCGTGAAACTTGCATCAGGCATTCCCAGAACACCGAGTGCTGAATCAAAGGACTCACCCAAGCCTGGGCTTCACTGGCAACCTTCCAAGGCTCTCACTCAAGGAATTCTTCCGGTCTTAGTATTAGTGCGGCCCCAACCCTAGGTGTGCGAGGTTTCGAGACCCGGCGTGCAACGTGTACTGTTGAGTCGTTGCTCTTCACTTCTCTGTTATCTTCCTCAAAACAGGCATCGAATCGAAACTTGGACCGTTGAAGTAGTCCCTTCTATGTGAGGCAGCCGCGGTGCCTGCGGCGAAACGCCGACCCTCAGCCGCTGCGAAGCGTCGCTAGGACTTATGTATGGGAGCTGCTGCTAGGCCGGCTAGGCTCCCTGTGTCCCATTCGTGTTGCAGATGTCTGTGTTGATCGAGACACTGAGAGTAGACACGCCATGGACCCATGCAGACAGGGAGAGAAGTGCCTTCAAATAGGATTGAAGAATGCGCTCAGGTCCGGATGATGCACTGCAGGAGCGCGCTAGAAGAATGGGGTTGTTCCTGGGAGTTCGAAAACATAGGAGGACCACACTTAAATGCTGTTTAAGGGTCTATGGTGTAGGATCGAAGGAAACAGGGCTTAGGGCTATCCTAAATCGTAGGATCCTTGTCATAAAAATAAGACGTCTAGATAAGTTGTCCCTTAATTTCCGAAGCCCCCATTTTGTGTCTACCAGACGGATTGCCAGTTCTCATCACGCCCGGGTTTAGATTGTTGAAGATCTGATCAAGTAAAAGTATACACCCTAAAACCTGAACATCCGACCTTGAGCCGAGACATCCGACCTATAGACATATTCCTCGCCTGGACTCTCCGAGTTGTGAGCACCGAAACCCTTCCTCCGTCGTGTGTAACAAACTGATATCAGTCTGAGTACTATAAGCCTTTCAAAGTTTGCTCCTCTGCAAGGAGCGCGAGGAGTTCGAGCAGCCGAAGGCTATGAAGCAACTAGTAACGTTGTTGTAAACAGCATATCGCCTACCCATATTAAACATATTATGTCTATCACACACAGACACACACACACACATGCACAGAGTATACATATACATGCGCAATTGCTGTTTGAGATTTGTGTTCGTTTACGTTATCGTTTTGGTGCGTTTACTGGTGTTCGATTTGAATGTTTGTCTAAGGCATGTATACGCGTGTATGTGTACGTCGGCATGGCTTTCGGTCCGTCCGCCTGTCTGCTTCAATGTGACTCTGACTTTGACTCTCTCTCTCGCTCTCTCTCGCTCTCTCTCTCTTCTAATGTGCGCACATGTGTATGTCCATGTATGTTTGTATGTGAGTATACTTGTCTTTGTGAAGGAATGCATGTACGTAAGTATGTATGCATGTATGTATGTATGCATGTATGCATGCATGCATGTGTGTACATGAGTTATATATGTGTATATAAATACATACAATTCCGTGTGCATCAGAATTTAACATGTGGTCATTGGTGGTTGGTTGCGTTGAATGAAGTCTGAAGGGCATTAAAGTTTGGCTCTGCAGCACTTGCGGAATAGCTGAATGTTCGATGTAAGACAGCCCCATGTGAGCGCCCGAGCCACCCCAGTATAGTATCTTCCATCAGTATATTGTGGTAAAACCTCACTCAGTTTCAGAAGTCTGTAACCCCGACCCAGTCTCAGAAGCCTAGACTCCTAGGCTCGTACAAAGCCTTCAGCAAGAAAGACTTCCCTCATCGAGGCTCTGCCCAGCCGTCTGCCTGCCATTCCACCAGAAGTTGCCGCGACTCTTCCGCGTTTTGCTTATGCTTTGATGCGTGGTGTGTCTCTGTCTGTGTATGTGGGTGCATTTGGCTGGCTGCCTCGGGAATCTAGTCCGACGGGCCCTCAGCTCGCTTTAGCTGTTTGAGCAGATCTGTTCAGGGCTCCCTTTGCCTGTATCCCCTTTTCCTTTGTCGAATCTCCTCCTACGCCTAGTCCCAGCCTAGTCCCATCATCCCTATAAGCCCTAAACCCAACTTCTTCAAAAAAGGTAGGAGGGAAAAAAAACTGCTAAAAACCTCCAAACCCTAAAGACCAGGCCAGAAAGATCCAAGCAGCAGTGCGAGGGCATCAAGCGCGCCGCCGTGTCGCGCGTTCGCGGCCTCGAACCTGGGCCCGACCTCGGGGAGACTCCGGTTCACTTCTTTAAGGGGTTCCCTTGGGAAGGCTATGGAAGGCTAGCTCGAAAGCGGCAGTCTCCTACCAAGCCCGTAACCGGTGGGCCTTATGCCCGGGGGAGTCTCGCACACTCCCCATGCGCGGGAGAGAGGGAGAGAGAGGAACAGATGCGCACGGCCCTTACTTACAATACCTGCGGACCTGTTGCACGCCTTATAACCGACCGAAAGTAGGCACACTAAGTAGGCGCTGAAGCCGGGGCTGCAACCAAGACTAGGGTACTATGGCTATGGCTTTGGTGCGAGATGCATGGTGCAATTGAGAAGCAGAAGCTTCTCGCTCCCCACAGCAAAGGAAACGCAAGGATACTTTCGGCCGCGGGCTGAGTGATGCAAGGTTTCAGACGCGTTTCCTGTGTACGTCATGAGCTTGAGAGGGTTTTGAATGAACCTCCGGCTTTCAACGACCTCTTAGGTTCAGCGTGAAGTGGGAGAGCATAATCCCTGCAGGCTTCGCGATCTGAGCTCACCGATGCACAGGAGAACGGCAAGACAGAGCATTTTTGGGGACCTAAACCGCTTTAAACCCGAAGCCCTAAACCCTAAACCCATGCCGCGTGCGAGTCGAAACCCATGCAGGTATACAAGACATAAGCCAAAGACCAGGTTTTAGCGAGTGGGGCTTTCAGCTTCTGAAGTATCGGTGTCGCCCCATGTCCAAGTCTGCATTGGTGCGGCTTTTGCAAGAAGCAGGCGTTCGGTTTGAAGGGCCGTTGTTGCGTGTGTGTATTATGTGCATATAATATATATATATATATTTATTTATTTATTATCTATTCTAGAGAGAGACATATGTGTATGGAGTTGTCTACATAAAAATGCGACTTTACACCAATCACATGGTCATATACATACATCTGTAAATGTGTTCATATGCACACACACACACAGAAATGTATATATATATATACACACACATCACACACACACGCGTGTGTGTGTGTGTGTCTGTGTGTGTGTGTGTGCGTGTGTGGGTGCGTGCGTGCGTGCGTGCGTGCTTTCTTGGACTTTACTGTCGGTGGCGTTCTTGGCTCTTGGTAGACTTTCGTCCGAACCT